GGTCCACGCGCGCGCCTTTGGTCACCACGCGCGCGCCTTGGTCCACGCGCGCGACTTGGTCCACGCGCGCGCCTTGTTCCACGCGCGCGCCTTGGTCCACGCGCGCGCCTTGGCCACGCGCCGCGCCTTGGTCACGCGCGCGCCTTGGTCCACGCGCGCGCCTGGTCCCCTTGGTCCACCGCGCGCGCCGTGGTCCACGCGCGCGCCTAGGTCCACGCGCGCGCCTTGGTCCACGCGCGCGCGGCCTTGGTCCACGCGCAGCAAGCCTTGGTCCACGCGCCGCAAAGCCTTGGTCCACGCGCGCGCCTTGGTCCACGCGCGCGCCTTGGTCCAACGCGCGCGCCTTGGTCCACGCGCGCAGCCTTGGTACCACAGCGCGAAGCAACAGCCTTGGTCCACAGGCGCGGCGCCTTGGTCGCACGCGCGCGCCTTGGTCCACGCGCGCGCCTTGGTCCACGCGCGCGCCTTGGTCCACGCGCGCGCCTTGGTCCACGCGCGCGCGCCTTGGTCCACGCGCGCGGCCGTTGGTCCACGCGCGCGCCTTGGTCCACGCGCGCGCCTTGGTCCACGCGCGCGCCTTGGTCCACTGCGCGCGCCTTGGTCCACGCGCGCGCCTTGGTCCACGCGCGCGCCTTGGTCCACGCGCGCGCCTTGGTCCACGCGCGCGCCTTGGTCCACGCGCGCGCCTTGGTCCACCGCGCGCGCCTTGGTCCACGCGCGCGCCTTGGTCCACGCGCGCGCCTTGGTCCACGCGCGCGCCTTGGTCCACGCGCGCGCCTTGGTCCACGCGCGCGCCTTGGTCCACGCGCGCGCCTTGGTCCACGCGCGCGCCTTGGTCCACGCGCGCGCCTTGGTCCACGCGCGCGCCTTGGTCCACGCGCGCGCCTTGGTCCACGCGCGCGCCTTGGTCCACGCGCGCGCCTTGGTCCACGCGCGCGCCTTGGTCCACGCGCGCGCCTTGGTCCACGCGCGCGCCTTGGTCCACGCGCGCGCCTTGGTCCACGCGCGCGCCTTGGTCCACGCGCGCGCCTTGGTCCACGCGCGCGCCTTGGTCCACGCGCGCGCCTTGGTCCACGCGCGCGCCTTGGTCCAAGCGCGCGCCTTTTATGCGCGCGCCTTGGTCCACGCGCGCGCCTTGGTCCACGCGCGCGCCTTGGTCCACGCGCGCGCCTTGGTACACGCGTGCGCCTTGGTCCACGCGCGCGCATTGGTCCACGCGCGCGCCTTGGTTCACGCGCGCGCCTTGATCCACGCGCGCGCCTTGATCCACGCGCGCGCCTTTGTCCACGCGCGCGCCTTGGTCCACGCGCGCGCCTTGGTCCACGCGCGCGCCTTGGTCCACGCGCGCGCCTTGGTCCACGCGCGCGCCTTGGTCCACGCGCGCGCCTTGGTCCACATGCGCTCCTTGGTCCACATGCGCGCCTTGGTCCACATGCGCGCCTTGGTCCACGCGCGCGCCTTGGTCCCATCGCGCGCCTTGGTCCACGCGTGCGCCTTGGTCCACGCGCGCGCCTTGGTCCACGCGCGCGCCTTGATCCACGCGCGCGCCTTGGTCCACGCGCGCGCCTTGGTCCACGCGCGCGCCTTGGTCCACGCGCGCGCCTTGGTCCACATACGCTCCTTGGTCCACATGCGCGCCTTGGTCCACATGCGCGCCTTGGTCCACGCGCGCGCCTTGGTCCCATCGCGCGCCTTGGTCCACGCGTGCGCCTTGGTCCACGCGCGCGCCTTGGTCCACGCGCGCGCCTTGGTCCACGCGCGCGCCTTGGTCCACGCGCGCGCCTTGGTCCACGCGCGCGCCTTGGTCCACGCGCGCGCCTTGGTCCACGCGCGCGCCTTGGTCCACGCGCGCGCCTTGGTCCACGCGCGCGCCTTGGTCCACGCGCGCGCCTTGGTCCACGCGCGCGCCTTGGTCCACATACGCTCCTTGGTCCACATGCGCGCCTTGGTCCACATGCGCGCCTTGGTCCACGCGCGCGCCTTGGTCCCATCGCGCGCCTTGGTCCACGCGTGCGCCTTGGTCCACGCGCGCGCCTTGATCCACGCGCGCGCCTTGATCCACGCGCGCGCCTTTGTCCACGCGCGCGACTTGGTCCACGCGCGCGCATTGGTCCACGCGCGCGCCTTGGTCCACGCGCGCGCCTTGGTCCACGCGCGCGCCTTGGTCCACGCGCGCGCCTTGGTCCACGCGCACGCCTTGGTCCACATACGCTCCTTGGTCCACATGCGCGCCTTGGTCCACATGCGCGCCTTGGTCCACGCGCGCGCCTTGGTCCCATCGCGCGCCTTGGTCCACGCGTGCGCCTTGGTCCACGCGCGCGCCTTGGTCCACGCGCGCGCCTTGGTCCACGCGCGCGTTTTGGTCCACGCGCGCGCCTTGGTCCACGCGCGCGCCTTGGTCCACGCGCGCGCCTTGGTCCACGCGCGCGCCTTGGTCCACGCGCGCGCCTTGGTCCACATACGCGCCTTGGTCCACATACGCGCCTTGGTCCACATGCGCGCCTTGGTCCACATGCGCGCCTTGGTCCACGCGCGCGCCTTGGTCCCATCGCGCGCCTTGGTCCACGCGCGCGCCTTGGTCCACGCGCGCGCCTTGGTCCACGCGCGTGCCTTGGTCCACGCGCGCGCCTTGGTCCACGCGCGCGCCTAGGTCCACGCGCGCGCCTTGGTCCACGCGCGCGCCTTGGTCCACGCGCGCGCCTTGGTCCACGCGCGCGCCTTGGTCCACGAACGCGCCTTGGTCCACGAGCGCGCCTTGGTCCACGCGCGCGCCTTGGTCCACGCGCGCGCCTTGGTACACGCGCGCGCCTTGGTCCACGCGCGCGCCTTGGTCCACGCGCGCGCCTTGGTCCACGCGCGCGCCTTGGTCCACGCGCGCGCCTTGGTCCACGCACGCGCCTTGGTCCACGCGCGCGCCTTGGTCCACGCGCGCGCCTTGGTCCACGCGCGCGCCTTGGTCCACGCGCGCGCCTTGGTCCCATCGCGCGCCTTGGTCCCATCGCGCGCCTTGGTCCACGCGCGCGCCTTGGTCCACGCGCGCGCCTTGGTCCACGCGCGCGCCTTGGTCCACGCGCGCGCCTAGGTCCACGCGCGCGCCTTGGTCCACGCGCGCGCCTTGGTCCACGCGCGCGCCTTGGTCCACGTGCGCGCCTTGGTCCACGTGCGCGCCTTGGTCCACGTGCGCGCCTTGGTCCACGTGCGCGCCTTGGTCCACGTGCGCGCCTTGGTCCACGTGCGCGCCTTGGTCCACGTGCGCGCCTTGCTCCACGTGCGCGCCTTGCTCCACGTGCGCGCCTTGCTCCACGTGCGCGCCTTGCTCCACGTGCGCGCCTTGGTCCACGCGCGCGCCTTGGTCCACGCGCGCGCCTTGGTCCACGCGCGCGCCTTGGTCCACGCGCGCGCCTTGGTCCACGCGCGCGCCTTGGTCCACGCGCGCACCTTGGTCCACGAGCGCGCCTTGGTCCACGAGCGCGCCTTGGGCCACCGCGCGCCTTGGTCCACATGCGCGCCTTGGTCCACATGCGCGCCTTGGTCCACGCGCGCGCATTGGTCCACGCGCGCGCCGTGGTCCACGCGCGCGCCGTGGTCCACGCGCGCGCCTTGGTCCACGCGCGCGCCTTGGTCCACGCACGCGCCTTGGTCCACGCGCGCGCCTTGGTCCGCGCGCTCGCCTTGGTCCGCGCGCGCGCCTTGGTCCGCGCGCGCGCCTTGGTCCGCGCGCGCGCCTTGGTCCGCGCGCGCGCCTTGGTCCGCGCGCGCGCCTTGGTCCGCGCGCGCGCCTTGGTCCGCGCGCGCGGCCTTGGTCCGCGCGCGCCTTGGTCCGCGCGCGCGCGTTGGTCCGCGCGCGCGCCTTGGTCCGCGCGCGCGCGTTGGTCTGCGCGCGCGCCTTGGTCCGCGCGCGCGCTGCGCGCGCCTTGGTCCGCGCGCGCGCGCGCGCCTTGGTCCGCGCGCGCGCCTTGGTCCGCGCGCGCGCCTTGGTCCGCGCGCGCGCCTTGGTCCGCGCGCGCGCCTTGGTCCGCGCGCGCGCCTTGGTCCGCGCGCGCGCCTTGGTCCGCGCGCGCGCCTTGGTCCGCGCGCGCGCCTTGGTCCGCGCGCGCGCCTTGGTCCGCGCGCGCGCCTTGGTCTGCGCGCGCGCCTTGGTCCACGCGCGCGCCTTGGTCCACGCGCGCGCCTTGGTCCACGCGCGCGCCTTGGTCCACCGCGCGCCTTGCCCACGCGCGCGCCTTGGTCCACGCGCGCGCCTTGGTCCACGCGCGCGCCTTGGTCCACGCGCGCGCCTTGGTCCACGCGCGCGCCTTGGTCCACGCGCGCGCCTTGGTCCACGCGCGCTCCTTGGTCCACGCGCGCGCCTTGGTCCACGCGCGCGCCTTGGTCCACGCGCGCGCCTTGGTCCACGCGCGCGCCTTGGTCCACATGTGCGCCTTGGTCCACATGCGCGCCTTGGTCCACATGCGCGCCTTGGTCCACGCGCGCGCCTTGGTCCACGCGTGCGCCTTGGTCCACCGCGCGCCTTGGTCCACGCGCGCGCCTTGGTCCACGTGCGCGCCTTGGTCCACGCGTGCGCCTTGGTTCACCGCGCGCCTTGGTCCACATGCGCGCCTTGGTCCACGCGCGCGCCTTGGTCCACGCGCGCGCCTTGGTCCACGCGCGCGCCTTGGTCCACGCGCGCGCCTTGGTCCCCGCGCGCGCCTTGGTCCCATCGCGCGCCTTGGTCCACGCGCGCGCCTTGGTCCACGCGCGCGCCTTGGTCCACGCGCGCGCCTTGGTCCACGCGCGCGCCTTGGTCCACGCGCGCGCCTTGGTCCACGCGCGCGCCTTGGTCCAAGAGCATTCCATTCCTCCCCCTCCCTCTTCACCCTCTCCCCAGCCACTGGCACCTGGTCTGGTGGACGCAGAGGCGTTCCCCATCGAGACGCCCTCCTTCCCCTCTCCATTCTTTCCTCCCCCTCTCTCCCCTCTTTCCCCCTCCCCGTCCCCATCCCCTCCCCTCTCCCCCCCAGCCACTGGCATCTAGTGGACGCAGAGGCCTTCCCCATCGAGACGCCCTCCTTCCCGCGCCTCTGGAAGGGTGCCCACTCCCCCCACGAGCGCTACTCCCTCGCAGACATGCGGCATGTTGTGGGGTGAGTGGCATGTGGTGGGGTGAGCACTGGCATGTGGGTGGCATGCTGTTGAGTTGAGTTGAACGGGGAGGCATGCATTTGGCCTCTGGAAGGGCGCCCACTCCCCCCACGAGCGCTACTCGCTTGCTGACATGGGGCATGTTGTGGGGTGAGTGGAGTGTGGTGGGGTGAGCACTGGAGTTTTTTAAAGCTCGCTCTTTTGATCGCCTTTTCCCAGTTCAGTGACTTTGGTTCTTTCTTTCTTTCTTGTTATCCCTTCCGTCTCATTCACTGCTCCTCTCTACCCATTTCCACCCCTCTCCACTCTTCTCCATCCCTCTTCAGCTACGCAGCAGCACGCGGCATCGTTGTCATTCCTGAAATCGACCTGCCATCACACTCCAAGGCATGGTGAGCCGCCAGCATTGCATTGCAAGACATGTGGGCTACATTGCCAGCACTGCCAGCACTGCCAGCACTGCCAGCACCCCAAACCCTAAACCCCGAACACTGCAAGGCACGCTCTGAGTTTCTTCACCACCACAGCAGCTTAAGTCTGAAATTTCTCAAAAACTCAACCTTAAAGAAGATGCTCCTAAAGAGAATACTCCATCGTCCGTTGTTGCTCGGAATCTCTCATCCCTCCTGCTCGCGTTCACCACAAGTGTCTCCAAGCGCCGCTCCCTCTGCCCCTTCAATCAACCGCAGAAGCGTGGGCTATTTGGCCCTTCTCCCCGCCCCTTCTCCCCGCCTTCACCTCATGCATTCACCGCATGCCTTTCCATGCGGCATTCCCGTGCATTCACTGCAGGGGTGTTGGTTATCCGGCCCTCCTCCCGGCCTTCAACTGCTCCGAGCCTCTTGACGTTTCCAATGAGTTCACCTTCCGAGTCATACAAGGGGTGCTGACAGGTAATGTGCGGTGCTGACTGGTGATGTGCGGTTCTGACTGGTTATGTGCGGTGCTGCCAGGTGATGTATGGTGCTGTCAGGTGATGTATGGTGCAGATAGGTGATGTGCGGTGCTGGCTGGTGTGTATGTATGCTCCATGCCTCATGCCCCATGCCTCAAGTGACCTCTTTTTGTGTGTGCAATTGGAGTGCAGACCTGCGGGCAGTCTTTCCCAGCCCGACAATCCACATAGGAGGGGACGAAGTGAATGCAGGTGAGAGGAGGTGAATCCAAGGAGTGTGATTGGGTTGAGTGTGAGAGAAGCATTAGTGATTGGCATGTAATTTTGGCAATTATCACGCAAGCCATAGGTGTGTAATTATTGTGCTTCAAGTGCGGTGTGTGATACGCGTGTGGGGATTGTGTGTGGTAAGCGTGCCGTAGTTGAGTGATAAGCGCATGATAACTCTGTGATACGTATGTGGTAAGAAATGCACTGCACCTGCCGCAACTGCTGCAACTGTCAATGCTCTCTCCCCACCCCCTGCGCTCTCTCTCCCTCTCCCATTCTCATCATGCAGAGTGCTGGACCTCTGTTCCTCACATTTACAAGTGGTGAGTGCCCTGCCCCGTAGTCCTGCCCCATGCCCCTGCCCCATGCCCCTGCCCCATGCCCCTGCCCCATGCCCCCGCCCCATGCCCCTGCCCCATGCCCCTGCCCCATGCCCCTGCCCCATGCCCCTGCCCCATGCCCCTGCCCCATGCCCCTGCCCCATGCCCCTGCCCCATGCCCCTGCCCCATGCCCCTGCCCCATGCCCCTGCCCCATGCCCCTGCCCCATGCCCCTGCCCCATGCCCCTGCCCCATGCCCCTGCCCCATGCCCCTGCCCCATGCCCCTGCCCCATGCCCCTGCCCCATGCCCCTGCCCCATGCCCCTGCCCCATGCCCCTGCCCCATGCCCCTGCCCCATGCCCCCGCCCCATGCCCCTGCCCCATGCCCCTGCCCCATGCCCCTGCCCCATGCCCCTGCCCCATGCCCCTGCCCCATGCCCCTGCCCCATGCCCCTGCCCCATGCCCCTGCCCCATGCCCCTGCCCCATGCCCCTGCCCCATGCCCCTGCCCCATGCCCCTGCCCCATGCCCCTGCCCCATGCCCCTGCCCCATGCCATGCCCCTGCCCCATGCCCCTGCCCCATGCCCCTGCCCCATGCCCCTGCCCCATGCCCCTGCCCCATGCCCCTGCCCCATGCCCCTGCCCCATGCCCCTGCCCCATGCCCCTGCCCCATGCCCCTGCCCCATGCCCCTGCCCCATGCCCCTGCCCCATAACCCTGCCCCATTTCCCTGCGTTTCTCGCTCTTTCAAGGATAGAAAAAACGAGGAGAAGGATGATGAGCAGCAAAATGGTTCTCTTCATATCAGCAAACTTGTCTCTCCTCTCCTCTCCTCTCCTCTCTCCATTCATTCCCGACTCGCCTTTCCCTGTTTGCACGGGAGCAGGAGGAAGGAGCACAGGAGGACAGTCAAGGCAACGATTGCCTACTTTGTGAACCGCGTGCAGGCCATTGCAGCCCAGCTTGGTTGGACCACAACCGTTGTATGGTCAGTGCTGCTGTGTGGGGTGCTGCTCTGCCGGGTGCTGCTGTGTGGGGTGTTGGGCTTGGGGTGTTGGGCTTGGGGTGTTGGGCTTGGGGTGTTGGGCTTGGGGTGTTGGGCTTGGGGTGTTGGGCTTGGGGTGTTGGGCTTGGGGTGTTGGGCTTGGGGTGTTGGGCTTGGGGTGTTGGGCTTGGGGTGTTGGGCTTGGGGTGTTGGGCTTGGGGTGTTGGGCTTGGGGTGTTGGGCTTGGGGTGTTGGGCTTGGGGTGTTGGGCTTGGGGTGTTGGGCTTGGGGTGTTGGGCTTGGGGTGTTTTCTTCTAGTTGGTGCTGATTTGAAAATGAGTGGTGTTTTCCCATTGTTAAGAAGTGGTGATTTTCCTCCTCTCTCTACTGCGTACCACTCCCTTTAAAGCTTTCATCGTCCCTAATTTCTCTTTTTGCTGTGCCCGCTGTCTCTGCCCCTCTTCTCGCCTGCCGTACGCTGACTCGACCCAAAATACAACCTTTCGTTCTTCTCTCTCCACGTGCCTGCATGCCTGCAATCCCCTGTTCTTCCCTCTCTGCATGGTGGCATGGTGGCATGGTGGCATGGTGGCATGGTGGCATGGTGGCATGGTGGCATGGTGGCAGGGAGGAGTCATTTCTCAACGTCAGGAGGCACCTCGATCCCACAACCACCATCGTGCAAAGCTGGTACGCTCCCTCTCTTTCCCTCACTGCTCCTTCCCTTGAGGAGGCACCTCAATCCGCTTACACCCCGAGCGCCTGCCCAGCATGGGAGGGGTTCCGATCACTCACACGAGTGGTTGCTACCTCGCTTCTGCCCCCTCCATGTCCCCTCTCTGCCCTCTCCCTGCCCTTGTCTTCCCCTCCTGCCCCACTCGTGTCAGTGCTCTGCCCCACTCGTGTCGGTGCTCTGCCCCACTCGTGCCCTCTTCGTCACCTTGTTTCTCATTCACTCTTTCCTCTCATCTGACTCTGCCTCACCCGTCCCTCCCAGGCTGAAAACCGACCAGTTGCCCAACATGGCAGCGTGGGGGTTCCGCATCATCCACATGAATGGGGGGGGTGGGTGGTATCTGGACTCGATGTTGCAGGGAGGTGACTTTTGACTCGTCTCAAAAGAATTCTCAAAAACACCCTGCAACAGAATGCCGGGGGAGGGTACCTGGACTCGCTACAAGCATCTCCCCCCTACTTCTGAACCCCCCCTTTTTCCCAGGCTGAAAACGGATCAATTGCCCAACATGGCAGCGTGGGGGTTCCGCATCATTCACACGAATGCCGGGGGCGGGTGGTACCTGGACTCGTTACAGTCCCGCTGGGAGCATGCTTATAGAGAGGATCCCGCTGACCTGGTGCTGCAGGTGGAACGAGAGAGGATGGAGAGTGAGGAGGACGGTGGGGATGTGTGGAGTGGGGATGGGGGGAGTGGTGGTGAGTGGAGTGGGGAGGAGCGTTGGAATTCAGGCGGAGAGGAGGGGGGTGTGCATGTGGGGGGAGGGGAGGAGGGTTGGAATGTGGGGGGAGGGGAGGGGGGTGGGGATGTGGAAGGTGGAGGGGTTGGGAACCGTGGGGATGGGTTGGGGAGTTTGTGGGCTGAGAGGGGGGAAGAGGGAGTGGGAGTGGGACTGGGCGGGGGAGTGGAAGGAGGAAAGACCCCCACAGCGGTTTTGTTGGAGCAGCTGCGAGGGAGGTGGAGAGTGGAGGAGTTGGGGGGTGTGGGAGTGAGAGGGGTAGGGGATGCGAGAGGGGATGGAGATGGGGATGGGACGGGAGGAAATGGGGCGGAGAGTGGGGGGGGCAAGCAGAACCTGGGAGGAGAAGAAGGTGAAAAGGGGGAGGAGAGGGGAGAGGAGGGAGGGGGGGAGACACTGGGGCGAGAAGCAGGGAAGGAGCAGCAGGGAGAGGAGCAGGGAAGAGGTAAAACAAAATACATGGCTGTGGGCGGATGGGAGGGGAATCAAGGCGAGCGAAGGTTGGGAAGCGGTGAGGGGAAGGGAGGGGAGACGTCAGCAGGGGCTGGAATGAGGAGAAGGGTCCTGGAGTGGACAGGAGGAGGGAGGGGAGGTGAGGAGAGAGAGACGAGAAGGGAAGAGGAGAAGCGGAGAAGAGAAGAGGAGAAGCGGAGAAGGGAAGAGGAGAAGAGGAGGCGGTGGGAGGAGCTGAAGGAGTTGGCAGAGAGAGTGGTGGTGGGCGGGGAGGTGTGTGCGTGGAGTGAGAGAATCGACCCCTCGCAGCTTATGGCTAGGATCTGGCCGCGTGCTGCTGCCATGGCAGGTGAGTTTCTCTTGAGAAATGGTGACTTTGGATCCGCCCTTCACGCACCTCACCAATGTGGTGGTGGGGGGGGAGGTGTGTGCGTGGAGTGAGAGGATCGACCCCTCTCAACTCATGGCTACAGTTTGGCCGCGTGCTGCTGCCATGGCAGGTGAGACACTGTGAGAGTTTGGCACTTCTAAGCCACTGCCGTATTTGAGAATTCTCTTGATTGCCTCCAATGGTAACAGTTTGGCCACTAGCTGCTGCTATGGCACGTAAGTTGATGCTTTGGAAGACGAGTGTCTGTGGGTTGTGGAATCCATACCTTCTTATTCCCCCTTTTTAAGCATTTGAGAAATCTCATAAGTGGTTCTGGAGCCATACCTTCTTACTCCCCCCTTTCCACACTATCCCCCACTCAACCCTCCCCCGCTCTCCTTCCCCTTGATGTGTTCCCTTTCCCCCCTCTCCCTCATTCCCTTCCTCCCCTCCATGTACTGTCAGAGCGCCTGTGGAGTCCAAAGGCATATGTGGATAGTATGAGGGACGGCCCGCATTATAGAATGCACATGTTTCGTTGTCTGCTCGTGCAGCGAGGCATTGCCGCCGCCCCGGTTGACAACCCCTTTGCACGGTCCGAACCAGTTCTCCCAGGTAGTTGCTTCAAGCAGTGAATTCCAAAAAATAGAATGTGTGCATGTGGATATAGGCCATTCCAGCTACGTTCTGGAACCTCAGCTTTGGTGTACTTGCTCTGTATGTAACCATGTAGGGTTGTGAGAAAGCCTAATGACGAAGAAGCGCCTGCCGCCCACGCTCCCGTATGTTTGTCGGTGATTGGTATCTTCTGGCGCAAGCCCACCACACTCGCGTTCGTTCGCGAGCAACTTCGCCTGGTGGATGCTTCCAAGGAAGGGACCCCCTTCGATGGTCCCATTCCCAATGCGAACGTTTTTTGGATCACTTTTTGCCTTCACAAGTATTGCTTAAGGAATGTTGGGTCTGCGAACCAGTAGAGAATTGTAAGTACTTGATATCCGCTGATCCTTCAGCATGCCCTAAAACAGAACCTTCACTCTGAACCGGCAACTTGTGTTGATACTTTCCCAGCTGGCGTGCACCTTCAAGCCAGCAGGGATGCCACACGTGTAAGCGGTCCAATCATGTTCGTCTGATGGCTACGCGGTCCCAAAACGTGACCTTGCTTTTGCGGCTCGAGCGTGGCGCCCCTGAAGGATAGCGCCCGACGTGGCTGCAATGAACACTGTGATTGGCTGTCCTTGCATTTCCCCGTGTAGATAACAGCTGCCTTGAACGCGTGGAGTCCAGCGCAGCAACGAACAAACCGAACTTTGACCACGACTGTGGCGAATTCGTCGACATTCATGCGAAGCATTCGCGACGATACCACGAGAG